TATCAGTTATACTCGAAGCGCTTTATTGCTCCTATCAATCCAGCTCTTCATCTTATCCGTGCCAATAACGCACGTCCAAAGGACCTTTACCAAATCGTCAAACTCATCGGCGCTATGCTGGGAAATAAGCAACCCCGGCTCCAGCGACGGCACCAGAAGCGGCTCCTCGGCGGACGACAGCTCGAACCACCCCATCGCCGAGTCCGCCTCCCATAGCCCTCGTCGCGCCGTGAACTTCACCGCCCCCGTGCACTCCGCCCACCCCTTCGTCAGCGTGTCGTACACGTTGCACACCGTGTCGACGATCAGCTGCGACCGCCGCACGCTCTCGATCAGGATCCACAGACGCCATAGCCCCGCTGCCGCCTCGTAGTCCCGGTTGAAATCGCCGCCCAGCGCCCACCATTCGAAAGACGCCGGTCGATCGCTATTGCTATTGCTATTGCCGTTGTTATCGGGGTCGTTGTTCTGCGGGGATATCAAGTCCTCCCCTCGGTACACTCGCGCCGCTGCGCACAGCTGCTTGACCCACCGCCGCAGCGTAGGCTGCTGCTTCTCGGCGTGCGCGCGCGAGCGCACCGACCCGTCGAAGAGCAGTATGAACTGGTAGACGAACAGGGCGTGCACGCGCGCCAGCTGCGCCCGAATGCCCTGCGCCCCGCCTCCACCCTCCCCAGTTGCGGAAGTAGAAGAAGTGCAACAGTCCCGCTGACAGCCGGCGGCGAGCGCAGACGACCGCCTCTCCGCGATCCGCAGCACGGCGTCGTGCACCGCGGGCGCGCGACCGACGTACGTCGCGAGCGTGGTAAACGCGTCCTCGAGACACGCGGGCATGTCCGCCCCGTCGCTGTTGTACAGCCGGCGGTGGATGAAGCTGTTGTGCCCGTTGCGCACCCAGCTGTGCAGCATCTCCTCGACGGCGCGGATGAAGGGCTCCAGCTCGACGTTCGTCGACGTCTTGGGGGGCTTGTTGGGGTTGTGCTGCAGCACCCATGTTTCGTCCCCGAGGAACCAGGCGCCGCTGCCGCCGCTGGGCATGGTGGTGCCGGGGGTGTCGTTGTCGTCGTCGCCGTCTCTTGGGAGAGCCATCCGAGGCGCGGGTTGGTTGGCCGTGTGCGTGTGCGTGTGCGTATACGCGGCTTCGGGTGGGGATAAAGGCATTAGCACGTCCGACAGGGAGACGTCCAAGTCGGCGGCTCCGATGGCGCCCCAGTCCGCGAAATTAAGACCGGATAGCGGAACATCAGCATCGGCATCGGCATCGGCCGGGACAGGGTTTGGGACCGGGAGAATGTCTCCAGGCTGATTAATGCTTATACTTGCAGGCGGGTCTCTCCGCCGCCGCTTGGGCTGCGGATAGACGCAATCCACATCTCTGTCGAGACATCGCCGGCACTCGGGGAGTTGCTTGTCGCATCTGCGCTTGGCATCCGCACAGGCGATGCAGGCCTTCTGGCGGGGAATTGCGGGCATAATGCGGGAGATAGAACCCTGGAATATTTTTGAGGATTCAATTTTGGAATCCGATGCAACGTCATTTTTTTAATTCTAGTTTTTAGATGGTTGATGCAGTTCCCCTTTTTCGATGTTGCTTACAAATACATAAGGCCGCCGTATACAAATCCCCTTTTGGGTGAAGCTAAGAAGCCATCCCGGCAGGTAGCTTGGATAGGTGGGTAGGTCAGCATGTGCTGATATGAATCATATGGTACTTAGGACATATAATAAGACATATAACTAGAAGTAAGAACAACATATAAACAAAGGGCTATGCAGTTGGGAAGTTTGTATAATTTATATTGCGATGCAGTAACTGCTGCACGTATCCAATTCCCTGTCGACGAAAATTATCTCGATAGGTACATGCGGAAAGATGAGTGTTCTCTTAAAGCGTAGCCCTTCCAAGAGGACTAGCTACCTAGAGGTGGATAGACAAGTAGAGCCGTCTACCACGCCGATACACGAACATCCTAGCCTCACCGGCAACATCTACAACTTATGCAGTCATAGCATAAGTACGAACAACTGAAGAACCGGAGGAAATACTCCTCGTCCTCGTATTCCCTGCTTGAAACCCCGCGCCCACGAGGTCCACAACAACATCCGTTGGAGTCGTCGCTGCTGCCGGAGCTAAGACAGTTACCCATATTTTTTCTGCTATGGTGCCGTCGACGTGGATGCTATGCGAGATGAGGCGGGACGAGGAGTGTACGTTTTCGGAAATTCTTAGGCTGCTGGTAGGAAGGCTATCAAGCCCTTTCGGTTTGGGTTATTTGCGAATGACGATTAGAAGAGGCACAGATACGTTGGCGATGATAGGGAAGATAACACTAAGACGAAGGGGAAGGCTAGATTGTTTGATAGGGTTTATATAATAGTATTTTCTTGTTAAGTTAGGGATGGCCGAAATATATTTAAGCAATTCTATCTTAGTCACTAACTCGATATTACATTCATTTTCCTTTTCACCATACCAAGGCTTTTGGGAAAAGCATCCTATATAAGGGATGCTTTAACTATAGGTATATACAGTCACTAGTTTCTACAATGTAGAGGGGGTATTGCTTGTGGAACAACGAAGTTTTCCACATGCCTCATAAGTTAACCCTTGTGATAGATTGTTATGTGCTGTACGTTTTAATATATACTAGTTATTAGTAACCCACACAAACTCTGTGGTATGTCAAATATAGCTAGGCTCGAGCAGATTCACACTACCCAAGTTGATTAGGTCCTGTTGGTAGAGCATTTCATCGTATGCGTTACTAAGCCAAAGCGCACCAGTTCGGTGACTCGATGTTGCTGAAGATTTGAGTATTAGTAGGTAACATACCTGGTCTAGGCATTATTCCTTGAGTTATACAAATCCAGGCAGGATAATTATGACAAGAAAAAAAATAAATCGTGAATAGGTAACTTAGTACGTAGGCTACATAGATGAACCAGAATACTTCATTATTATAGGTATACATCCCTGCCCCTCGGGTAGATTAACGTTTAATAGGTAAGGCACACTTGTAGCTCAACCATGTATTGAAGATTGAAAGGTATGCAAGTGGCCAGTCACAGTGTCTATTAAATGCTACGTAACAATGGCTATTTGGGTAAGAATTTCATATTCTATAATACAAGCTAGGTATGTTTACCGTTCGCAGTCCAGACTCTCTTTAATTTACCTGACCAGCGTCTTCAGAACATTTGTCATATGCGCTGCAATGTGGATTAGGAAATCATGATCATTCAAAAAAAAAAAAAAAAAAAAAAAAAAAATTAAAAAATAAAAAAAAAAATTTACAAACTCGCTTATTGGCTTCACTTGTTTCTTAGGATTGAAGCTCATGATATATCATTGTCGGCTGAGAGTTCTGTCGATCACGTGGATTAATACAGGTTGTTGGGTGTGGCAATTCCTGGTACCGAACTTATAACCTTTTTGGATGCCTGGTTGTATACTTGAATCTACACTTCAACAGTATATGTAGGCAATTCAATCAAAAAAGACTTTTGTTAAAGCCACAAAATAAAATACTATACGTAACTACGTCAATGATTTTCATAGTCCTGGTCACCCACCTAATGAAGTCACGATAATAAGCCTTCTGAGTCACTTGTCTGCCTACATGTTGGGTCAGAAAATACAAGCAGGGGGTCTGGTGACATGCATACTCGAGGCGTTATCCAGATCAGCTGCCTCTGAATGGAGGCTAAATCAAATGTAATTATATAAAACCTTCCTTCCAATAATTTTATTCCCTTCGTCGTCGCATTTCTCTCCCTACTTAACTTCTTCACTGTACTATTGTTAATCGCTGATTCTGACGGACCCATTTCAAGGGAATCTGATTACATTTCCCCTTTCTCATCAGCCAGGGAGCAGACACAACGGAAATACTGTGCCTCCTGCAAATACCCTACCAAGTTCCGTATAAGGAGGAATCATGGGCAATTGCATGAGTTCATCGGCACCAGGCCATGGCCGAAGCGGAGCTAGAGCCGGTCATAGATCGGGTCACCGACATGCCGGTAAACTTTCATCTGGTTATTCACCAAGTCGCTCTACTCGAAGAAGACCAAGGGCCGATGTCCGGATAGGCGAGAGGGAAGTGGTAATTGAGACGTGGGGAGATTTTGATTGAAAAGAGGATTTTCTGGCAATAGAGTATCTACCTTCTAAGAGCAGATATCGTCTAGGCGTCTGGAGGAAAGGGGGCTGTCTCACGTACGAGGGCAAGATCCTATGAAAGCATACCGCTCGCTTTTAAGAGACTATGCTCTCATAATGAATAATGACCGAATTTACCTTATATATACCCCTACCTCGAACTTCACTTCCAAATGATCTCAAGATTTTACTCCTCTCGATAGGTCTTGGACGCATAGTCATGATTCCCGAGCCAATGATACATTGGAGCCATAGGAGCAATCAGATTCAACACTTGAATATATTCAATCATACCTCATCTTATCATTATTACTAAAATGCGCTTGTGAAGGTACAGGCTCTGTACCTGCTACCCAGTAAGCGACGATCCGAAGCTGTACTTAGTACGTGACTGCGCAGACTACTAGCGATAGCTGCCCACTCCTAGTACCTATTCAAAAACTCAATATTTAGACAAACTCGTTGGTTTTGACTAGTAGTAGAGAGAGACGCCTAACAGTATTGTGGAAGGAGATAGAGCCCAGTTTCAAGACATATGCAAAGTAACAACGTGAACGAAAAATAAAATAAATAAATAAGCAAATCAATAATTGAAGATTGGAATGATCCTATTCAGTCCCAGCTGGCATCTCTCCGAGACCCTTGTAGATCTTGTAGATGGTTAGCCGCTACACTATGTACCAATAGGGCGTAGGCCGATGCAAATACAGGGCAACAGGGGTAATCCTGTCAGTGCTAGAACATTCCTACGCGCGCACAAAAAAACAAAAAAAAAAACAAAAAAATAAAAAATGAAGGTTGATATTTTCCTCAATTTAATGAGAAGCATCAGGAATTGAGCCCGATGCGGGGGTCGAACCTATAGAATCGAGTTAGTACGAAGATGCACCCTCCTAAGAATTTTTCTTATATCTGTAACTTACCCGCAACCTTGAGATTTCCTTGTTCTGTGTTTTCCACGAGAATCTTAAGAGTCTCACGCTCTACCGATTGAGCTAACCGGGCAGGCTTTGGTGAAAAAAAGCCTTGTTAGGTGTGCTCATATTCGAATGCGCAGGCATGGTTCAACCACTTACCTGATTGATAATTATGTTATCCTTGGGGAAGGAGATTTAAAGACCAGCATGCCATTTGCAGTATATATTCTACTGGTACTTGAAGTTCTCGCATAAGTGTAGAAAGCTATCTGCAATTACCCAGCCTGATGCCAATCTCCAGCTTCTTCCAAATCGACTGACTGCAGCCTAGACACAGCCCCGTCCCATCTTCTTCCGTATTTATTTAGTAAGTACACAGAAACTAAAATATCTTATACGGCCTATTATTATAATTGTAGAGACTTGATGTAATGGCTTATCAATATTGCGCCCGGAGATGCAATAACACACTACTAGCCCGGCAGTCCGGACAAGCCGTGGAAGCCGCGCCGGGCTGCGGGTCGGCGTAGGGATTAGCCTGGATCAACCCGGAAGAGCTACCGGGCATAAGTTTTGGGATTGCTAGGTTATCCGTGACATGAGTAGACACAGCGAAACCTTAATGCGAACCAAAATAAACAAGAAAAGGGTCCTATTCGGAATATTCTGTCATCGGGATCGTACAAAAAGGCACTCGTTCGTATATATTGCAGAAGTATTAATTAACGGCGGAATAGCTGAATATCGCAAGGGCGACAAAAAGTGTGTTGTATAAAAATATGTAATAACGAATTATCAACGAATTCAATAACTTCATCCAGCAAAAAGCCGCGTACGGGCCGCCCTCGCGTAACGCCTCGCCTTAACATCCAAAGGGTCAAAAAAATAAGCGGTTTGGACGTGTATCTACCCCTGAACCCATATCCATGTCTCTATCATCCCGTCTATTTGTATTTGATATCTCGGTAAATTTTTTGGAAAAAGGGGAGAGGAGAAATTGACAAAGGGAAAAAAAAAAAAAAAAAAACTTTTGCGGGTGTATCGTGGTATTAATATGGTAGATGTTAAGAGCACCTGATAAACTTATGCTCGTAGCATCCATCATTCGTAGTAGCCAAACGCAATCAAATGTATCAATCAATCCAAAAAAAAAGACATCATCGCGAAAAAGCAGACACGCTCCTAATCTCGGCGTCCTCCTCCTCGTACTCGGCGAGCTTCTTGCCGGGCAACTTGATAGCCCTGTCGAGGGCGACGGGCAGGCCCCTGTGGCGGCCGCGCAGCATGACGAGGATCATGACGATCTTGCTGCCGGTGTGCATGCCGCCGCTGAGGCTGTAGCTCTGGTCGGGCAGCCCGATGCTGATCCCGATGTTCGTGTACCCCGACACGATCTCGAACAGGATGTTGAACACGCTGAACGTCACCGGGTCCCCCAGCGAGTGGCTCGTCTCGATCAGCGTGATCACGAACAGCATCAGCGCGATCCACCACACGTCGTGGCTCAGCTGCCCCCGCACCTGCTGCGACACCAGGCTCGGCGGCCCCGCCGGCGGGTGGTTGTGCAGCGAGTGCACCGACGCCCGCCCGAAGTCCATCGTCTTCGCGCGCGCGAGCGGCTTGATCGCTGGTACGGCCGCGGGCGCCGCGGGGGCCGCGACGCCCACGCCTTGGAAGGCCGTCATGCGGCGCTGGATCTGGCGGCCTACGAACGCGGTGCCGCGGCGACCGACCGACTTGAGCATCGTGATAGACTTCGTCGTCGGCGCTCGGGAGACCGCGTCCCAGTTCTTGGTCGTGACGGGCTGGAGCCCCGTCTCGTCGAGGATGTTGGCGGCTTCTTCCTCGATGATGCTGCTGCTCGCGGAGTGGAGCTGTTCCTCCTCGGGCTGGTCGCCTTCGTAGATTCCTAGAGATCGCTCCTCGTAGACGTTGGAGTTTCGCATGGTGATGATGTGCGGGTAGGCCGCGGTGTAGTATACGACGAGCCAAAGCACTAGGATGTCGAAGTACATGGCCGACGGCGAGACTATGGCGTATCCTCCTGAAGGGATCGCTATTCGGTTAGGTTAGCTTTATGATCTTTCCAGGTCACTAGTTATTATTGTCAGAAAGGGGCACTTACAAAATCCCTGGAAGAGCGCGTCAAAAATCCGCTGGCCAACGGGGATAGCATCCATAGTTGGGTTTCCAATGCTAAGGAGTAAAATAAGGACCCAATCGACTATCACGAAACCTCCAAACGTAAGTGCAAACATCCACGTATCCTTGGCAGGGAACAAGCTAGTATACACGCGACGAGGGAACTTCAAGATGAAGTCAAAGCCCTCCTTCCAGACAGAGTATTCCTTGTCCTTAGAGAGGAGGTTTAGCAGGCTCGACATGCTCCATATGATAAACCGCATGAAGACCGGGAAAGCTGCGGGGCCGGCGAGCGATAATAGCGTGACGACGACAAGCAGGAAATACGAAGATTGGAAGGGAATAAAGCCGGCGTCCAGGAGCGTGAAGCCGGCGTTGTTATAGGCGGAGATGGCTAAGAAGATGCCTGCCCACCAAGGATTCTGAGAATTGACGGCAGCGGTATCGACCGCGTAAACTGACATCCAGGCTCCGAGGGCGATGGCGCCGAAGAATTGGCAGAGCAGGAAGTACACGATGACGAAGACGGACAGAAACTTGAGAGAGCGGTACTCGACACCACCTAGGTATTCTCGCTGATCCTCCGATAAATTAAAGAATTGTCCGTTCCTCCCAATATTCCGTTTCTGTTCCTTTAAGAACGTCTGCACGTTGAAACCCTCGAACCCCGTCCTCGACTCCGCCGTCTGAGATCGCCGCCTCGTCGCTGTGCTCTGATGCGATTGCGTCTGGTATATCGAGTGTCCGGTTGCCGCGGCGTGGCTTTCGAGGGACTTACCCTCCTGGACGGGCTCGAGGAAGTTGATATGGTGGTGCTGGCCCGTCGCGCTCTCGATGTCGACTTCCGGAATAGTCTCTTCGGTAGGACCACCAAAACCCCCCCTTCTGCTCGACGACGACACGTTCCTCGTGTGGGAGACGACGGGCCTCGCCTTATCCGGGGCCCGCCCTTTGCCGAACGACGACATGACCTGCAACCCGAACATGGTGCCGGTCATGCCGACGATGGCGCCGGTGCCGGAGACCTTCTTCTTGCGCTTCTCGCGCTCCATCTTGACGATGTCCTCGAAGCGCTTCTCGAAGATGTGCTTGCGGAAGGCGATGGTGACGTAGGAGATGAGGACCTGGCTGCCGATCATCATGAGCACGCACAGCTCGACCTGCTGGAAGGTGGTCAGGTCGCTGACGTTGACGGTGTTGAGCCCCGACGCCGTCAGCGCCGACATCACCATGAACATGCTGTCCCACCACCCGACGCTGTACCGCGGCGCCGACGCGCCCCAGAATATCAGCGTCCCCACGATCGTCATCCCGATGAAGTACGCGTAGTGCAGCGTGATGTAGTTGACCGGCGGCAGGTACGGCTTTGCCGCGTACGCCCACCTGGTTAGCTTCTCGTGGAGCTCCGGGTGCTTCTCCCCGAAGTCCTCCCACCGTTGCTCCATCCCCATGACGGGCGGGTTGGCTTGGCTTGGCTGGTTGATCTCTTGAACCTAACTAACACCCTTTTCTTTCTTTCTTTTTTTTTTATTAAAAAAAAAGGTAACCCCGAAAAGGGAGCGTCTCGAATAATTGCTTCGGTCCAGCCGCGTGAAGGCACTGCAAAAAAGTACTTTAAAAAGAAAGATAAAAAAGAAAATTCAAATGAATGGACGGCGGGTGGTTCTTTTTTTTTTTTTTTTCTTCCCCCGCGGAGTTTTGGTTGCCTCTGACTCTTCTCTTCGTGTCCAATGTGTCCCACGGAGCACGGCCTATGTGGTGCCCAAAACACAGAGAAAATCACCAGGGTTTTGCAGATATTATGGATAATGTATATATATGCCCATATGCCGACCCTGTAGGATCCCCTATGTTTCCCGCCCCATTTCCCAATCTGTCATGCTCTATATTTAACGTGCCACTCAACTCAAAGAATCCGTTGTTTCTTTCTTTTCTTCGAAACAATCGGTTGTGAGTTACCTCATGTATGTTTTATCTTCACTAAACAAAGCCGATCGAATATCTCGTGTATGTTAGTTATGTTTATTACTATGCAGGTAGTTACATAGGTTAGGTAGGTAGGTTAGGTAGATAATTAATCCCAGTGAATTTATCCCATCACTCCTTAATTCCAAAAGCACATGCTAAGCATAAGCATAAAACCAGATTTAATCCGTGTACGACCCTGACCAGCCCTGTTGGTTTGGTAATGCTTGATGATCCTTAAGTTGACCGGGGTTGTATTGCGCTTATGCGCGAGCGTAACGTGGCAGCGTGGCAGCGTGGCAAACTGGCATTACACGCGGAAATTTCAAAAGATAATGCTATGTTCTCCCAAACAATAACACGCCGTATTGATACATAGATGACCCATTACTTATCTTATCCTAGCCTATCATACCCATGGTTAAAGTAATAATGATAATAAATAACAACAAAGTGAAATTGTAATAGGTAGCGTATATCGTATCTACACCTTTTCCGTTCCAGGTACCGATTTGGTTGGTTTTTTGACGGACTTCCACTGTAGGGCGCAGCACGATAAGAACGCCAAGCCGGCAAGCGGTATTGCCACGAGTAGGACCGTATGCAGTGCTTGATCGTACAACGTCAATAGTGCGGGAAGCTGTTCAGCTGGAACAACCTTTCGGAAGGCGATGGCCCCTGCACCAACGATAGCACGGACGTCGACGCCTGGAATATCCGTCTGCTCGATGAGAGCCGCAAGACGGTTCTGGAAGACGCTATTACCAACCGATATAAACACGGCGCCGCCCAGGGATTGAGACGCGACAACGGCAGCGGTACCTACAGCGAGCTCATCCGGCCCTAATACCGTCTGCACCGCCGTGAAACCCTGCTGGATTGACATACCGAAACCGGCCGACGCGAGAATTTCGAATCCGATCCACATTCCCGTGCTCATAGTCGGGTGGAATAGAGTGATAATACCGCAGCCTACGGTGC